GTATGGAAGCTATATGCTATAGTAATCCGATCTGAAAATTTTTTTCGTCTTTCGTCTTCAAATGTGAAAGTTTTCCATACAAGAACTTGATTTCGATCGTTCAGTTTGTATGGCAGCTATATGTTATAGTGGTTCGATATCGGCAGTTCTGACAAATGAGCAGCTTCTTGGAGAGAAAATGATGTTTGCAAAATTTCAAAATGATATCTTAAAGACTGAGGGAATAGTTCGGATATATACAGACAGACGGACATGGCTAAATCGACTCGGCTCGACATACTGATCATTTATATATATACTTTATAGGCGAACCCTTCCTTCTGGGTGTTACAAACTTCGTGACAAACTTAATATACCCTGTTCAGGGTATATTTAATAAAATAAAATAAATAAGAAAATAAAAAAGTAAAAGTAAAAATACTTTTTTCCTACAGCACATTAAAAACTCACGGTTTTTTAACAATTAACAACATTTTTAGATTTTTTTTTATATTAAAATTAAAAATATAATAATATTAWGAAAAAATAATAACATACATTTAGGGTGGGTAAAAAACGATTTTTTAATAGCTTCTTGGAWCCTCCGCCTTACAGCTTTCCATATTTTCTTATACCACCTAGATAAATGATAAATTAAGTTTAAACATTAAACACTTTCTAAAAGAACGAAACCCAAAGTAAAGACTGCCTTGATTTGCTTTGCATGACTGAGAAAACGTATAAATATACATTTTAATGCACAAACGGCAAACATATATATATGTATAGTACATATATACATATTTATTAAGTACTATGTACATTATGTCTATTTCATATTCCGTTTTACTACCACTATAACCAAAAATGAAAAATTACTATCAAAAGGAGTTGTGTATGGCTTAATGTAAGAAAAAACAACAATTTTTGAATACAATAGTCATATCCACACATACACCCATGCATATGAGCATATGCCTGCAATTACCCATTTCACATAACTCATACGCACCGGCGCATCGCCATATACTTCAAGCATGAGAATTGCACGCGGAGTCAATTAGGCATGAAACAAACTCTTTTTGCTCTGCCTCACACTGCATTGGACCAACAAGTGTTTCAKAGCGCATACATTTACATGTACATACACAAGCATATAACTATTGCAAATACATGTGCTTTTATATATGCTTGTCATAGTATGTACATACATACATATGTATGTRTGTGTATTAATGCAACAGCACATAAAGCAAAGAAAACTCCACTCAACTRTTGCTGCGCTGCCAGCAACAGGCTGTAAAAGTTGGAAAGTAATCTGCAACGCAGCGATGCATGGCTGTCCTCACATTCAGCTGCTGTGTGACTTTGCGTGCTGCGCCTGTCCGCCGGCGTGCTGCGTTATGGGCGCTTGTACAACTACATACACATGYCTACATATATATATCGAGTTGAACAACAACAGCAGCGACAGCGGCTACAGCATCCTGCCAGGACATTTGCCACTTGCTTAGTCAGTGCGAGACGAGATCTCGTTGCTGATGGAAGTGTGTTTCCAGCTGCCAGCTGCCGTGTGGATATACTGGCATAACAAATAGATATATTTTATTTATTTCAGAACATTTTTATTTTTCAATATCTACAAAGTATTAAACAAAAAAAGACATTTAATAGCTGAAGCAAGTAGTTTTGCTAAATGGAAATAAATGCAAATTTGATGTGTTGACGTGAACTTAAAAARATATATATAAATAAACGTACAATTTCGTAAAAGCATTAATATGTACTTTTRGTGTGAGCATAAAGTTTTAAGTGAAAAATATTTTTAGTTAAAAAGCACGCTTATAAGCAGAGAGTGACCTGTAATAATATATGTATAGTAAAAAATTGCTGTTATAAATATGTGAAAGTTTCGACAAAAATTAGTGTAAGTAAAAAATTATTTTTACTTTTCTTTATTGACGTAAACACAGCTTTCGTGGTTAGTATTGAAATTATAGATTTTTTTTTCAAATTATAACACAAATAAATATCAAATCAAAGGTTGAGGTTATATGCTAAATTCTTTATATGGTCATAATAACTATAATTTCGTAAATTTAGACAAAATGTTAACAAAAAAGTTTTTTTTTCAAATTTTTACAAAATTTTACAATTTTTTCTTTCAAATAAAATTTTTCAAATAAAATTTGGTTACCAGCATTTTCACACAAATTTTGAGGTAATGTGGGAAAAGTCTGTTCACAAAAGTTATAGATATTTTCATTACATACAGCATTGCCATACAAATTTTTTTCATAGGGCTCGTASCTTTACCGAAGATCAARWTAAACCGATTAAAACCTTAAAAATKCAACCACGGTYCTCTTCTTACTCTTTCTTACCACAGATCAGCCTTTAAATATCTTCAAATTTCTGCTAAAATTCGTAAGATCCTTAGCATAAATTTAGACTCATCTTTTCGCGTAAAATTTTAATATCATCCCAATGTGCTTTATTAGCTTAAAGATTTACATGGCTTTCCTCGGGTAGAAAACTGCCATTTTTCAACAATTATTTTCTCCTATAAAAAATTAGTTATTTTATTAGAATTTTTTATTATCAAAAACATAAACTATTAACAAAGAAATTCTGAAACTTAAAAAAAAAATATATTTTCAACTTGGCCATTGCGAGGCCATTTCCGGTGACCCCTCGGAAAAAAGATGCGCCCGAAGGAAAAAAGCAATCGAAAATTAGATTTTTGACCGACATTTGTACAAAAAAAAAAAATGAAAATGAAAATTGCAGTGAAMATTACGAGAATTTTTTTGCTTGGAATGAGTTGGGGCCTACTATGAATTTCTACCACTTTTTACCATTTTCATAGGCCTCTACACTAGTATAAAATACCTTCTTATAACACATAATATATTTTGAATATTTCGTGGAATGCTGTTAACCRCTTTTGGAACTAAATATATTATAATAATATTATAACAAAATCGGCTAATAATTTTTTTCATACCAGGTGTTTCGTACTGAACAATGGCGACCATAATTTGTTGTGTTTATTTCTCTTTCAAATATTTCAGTGAACTGTTTTCTGTTGCAGGCATTTTGAGCATACAGTGGCAACCACTTGTGGCTCTTTGCTTCGGGAAAAATTAAATACGAGAAAATATAACATTTTGCAATGGTTAAGGAATTAGGGTGGGTAAAAACAAGATCTTTTAGATTTTCTTTTTATGAGCGGAATTTTTTTTCTTGTAACYTCACGCCGTAACTAAGTAATRTAATCAATATKCYAAGGCATTTAATGCTTAATTTCCTCAAAAACCTGCGATTTGGGACACAATTYTATTTTTCTAAATTTCTGTTTAARCTCAAATTTAAAATTTCTTTAATAAAAATATGCCCWATGCGATTCTGGAAGCTTCTGCATTTTTATATTTTCTCTACARCCAGTAGTTTCGAAGKTATAAGCATTTTTGTAAAAATTGGAAATTTTAAATTTCCAACTTTTTGTCTGATAAGATGCCTTAAATGTCCAAATTTTCWGGAGATGTTCTCCTCAGCTCRCTCTTCGCTCCCTTTAATGCCCGTCGGCTGCCYCTTCAAAAAAGAAAGGTCATCTCTTTTTCTTTCTTTCCTTAGTTTGAAATTGACTGCCTTCAAAGTAATCCCAACCAGATGTACTGAATTTATGTCAACGATTTTTCCCGTCCTCGAAACACTTTTTATTGCGTTTTGGGCTTTAAGTTCGGCCACAATTTGGGCTCGCTGCGATGGTGCAATAACATCATRTAAAATCTACAAATGGTTCTTCCACGATTCCCGGTATTTTCGACGGATGTTCTCATGCTTCAATATGGCCAAATAGGACACATTGTTGACGGTCTGTCCCTCCGAAACAAATTCCTGAAGCACTAAACCACGAATATTGAAAAACAGTGAGCTTGATATTAATTTTTGAGCGGCTATGGCGTGGTTCTTTTCGTTTCGTTTTTATGGCCTCCATTTTGATTAATGTTGACTTGTTTGCATGTCAAACTCATAAACCCATGCCTCATCGGCAGTTATAATGCTCTCCATAAATATGGGATCACGATCAGGCATGTCCGCAGAAACCTGTTTACGGTGCCCTTTTATAAAAAAAGGAAGCTTTTTCTGTACAAGTCGAGCAAGAACACGTTTCATACCTAAAATTGCGACCAAAATCATTCGAACGTACTCGCCAGGGATGTCGAGCTCTCTTGTCATCTCTCCAACACTTGTCTGACGATTTTCAAGCACTATTTCCTTCACATTTTTATTAATATTTTCATTAGTTTTTTGCACTCGTGCRCTTGTGTCTTTGATAAAACTGAATCACCKTAAACCTTTTCACGAAACTCGATTAGAAGTACAAAATTCGAAACAAATTCTTTGTTATATATTTTTATCCATTGTAAATCAGTAGGGCACTGAGTAAAATTAACCAGAGAAAYAAGTATTGTGACAAGGCAATATAAAATTTTACATTATTTTGAAAGTAAAATTTTAATGATTTGAAATTTAAATTGACTATTTTTTCTGTAATGCTGAGCTCGTCAAGCAAACAAACCAAATTTCAAATTCACAAGTTTAGCATTTTTTTTAAACAAGCTAATTTATTTTACTATTTACTTTACTACTRTTGTAATTAATGTTGAACTAACTAAAGCAAATATTTTAGTTAGAACTTTCTAACAATTTCTCTTTAAATCCGGTTCGTGCCTTTTTAAGCAAAATATTTGAATGTTTGGCTAAGTAGGTATAAATATATGTATATACAAATAAATAGTTACAGT